AAACATGAAACTATCTGATGTCCCACTGCAGAGGAACTAATACAGAAACTTAAAGTGGACAGGTCAATATGAAAAGGGGTCAGGAATTAGGGAAAAGGTCAGTTAGAGATAAATCAACTTGAGTGGTAACTATTTTGTACAAGGAAGCAATGCTAGGAATATTCTGTATAGCTATCCTTATCTCAACTTGCAAAAATGCTTTGCATTTCCTATTATTGCTTATGTCTTCTCTTCAATAAAATTAGAGATAAGGGCAGAATAACGTTCTACCTGGAAGGGAGGTTGGGAGCAAAGGGGAATGGGTGGAGAAATGGCCCAAACAATGTATAAGCATGTAAATAAGTGAATTTTAAAAAAAGAAAATAATTGCCTATGTGTACATCTTCCAGAGCATCCCTGTTTTTTATCTGTTGTAATTCAGGCATTACATTAAGAACTTTGATCCATTTGAATTGATTTTATACATGATGAGAATAAAGGGTCTGGTTTCAGGTTCTTCATGTATCCAGCCATTTTTCCCCAACACTTCCAGAGCATCCCCTGTTTTTATCTGTTGTAAATTCAGGCATTACATTAAGAACTTTGATCCATTTAGAATTGATTTTATACATGATGAGAATAAAGGGTCTGGTTTCAGGTTTCTTCATGTATCCAGCCATTTTTCCCAACACAATTTGTTGAAGATGCTGTTTTCCTCCAGTATGTCTTTGGCTGCTTTGTAAAACATCAGATGCCTGTATCTGTGTGGGCTTATTTCAGGTCTTTTGTTCCACTACTGCACTTGTTTGTTTTTCTGCTAGTACTATGCTGTTTTTGTCACCATGATTCTGTGGTATAATTTGAAGTCTGGTCTTGTGATGTCTTCAGCTTTGCTCTTTATTGCTCAGAATTACTTTTGATATACTGGATCTTTTGTTTTTCTACATAAATGTTAGGATTTAGTTTTGTGTTTCTGTAAAGAATGACATTGGGATTTTGATGTTCATTGAATTGAATTTGTAGTTTGCTTTCAGAAACTGGCTTGGTGTCCCAGAACTCCTTTAGCTGAGACTTCAAATCCCTCAGGTTGCTCAGTATTAACAGTTTTCAAGTGTGTCTTTTAACCTGAGTTATCTCCCAGTTAAAGTTAGGTGCTTTGTTTTGGAATTGTCCTTAGGCAATGAAACTACTCTTACTAGGTTTGACAACTTTCCCTTCCTGTGTACATCTCTTGTAAATAGAGATTGAACTGTAAGTCAGGTCCAAAATTTTAAAAAGAATTTGCAAAGAAGACTGAATGTGCAACCTCACCAGATCCTTTGTTTGGAGTCTGTGTTCTAGTAGGCAATATTGGGAATCTGATACTCCCTTATCCTCTTAAAAAGGAGCAGAAAAAATTAATAACCCAAGATTTTAAAGGTTTTATTATTATTGTAATAGGAACACAAAAATAATGTAGTCATTGGAATAAAATAAACTTGAATTCAACAAATATGAGAGCTAGGAATGTGAAATGTGATCATTGCTGTTTAGGAAGAGAAAAGATAACTTCCACATAGTAAAGTGTATTCCCATTTATTGTTATGGCAAAGTATGAAAAACTTTCTGAATGCTTTTCAGGCAAGCTGGTTTGACAAGATAAATCTATCAAGAGCTATGAGTACAAAAAAATTAGAAGGATTTCTTGTCTGATGGAAGATTAGAAATTTTGAAGTTGATTGTGGTGTTTCTGCCTATAATCCAGCACTTTGGGAGGTGAGCCAAAAGATCAAGGCTTAAGGGCATGGGTAACAAACATCTTCCTATCTACAACAAGAAAATTAGGGAAAGGCTAATAGACAATAATGACCTTGACAAGGATTCATTCTTTTGGTGATGCAGTGTTTCCATCTCCAAATGACATATTTGAGTACAATAGTGTATATTACATCATAACGGTTCTTTGCAGGTTCTAAAAGTAATGTTATAAAATGTTAAGAATTGCAATTTGGCATGCACCTGAGATTTAGTTTGAGTAAGTGACTAATGCTTCTTTCATAAATTTCAGTCCAAACATGACAATGGTGGAAGGGGTTAAAACAACATAATGAAAATGAAGAATAAGCTTGGTGGAAATCTTGCTGTAATATATGGATTAAAATAATCTCTTTGCCAAATATGTCTTCCTTCCCAAACTTTAAGTGTTAACTCATCAGCCTTTAGCTTGCTAGAATGTTCGTTTCTGTCTAGTAAAGATTCAGAAAGAATAATACATATTAATTTTATGACCCTTGGACTAAGCAGGTATAGAAAGTATAGGTAACCATCACGAAATAATATATATAACCTTTTGGTTCCCAGTCCAGGCTGTTTTTCACAGAGACTCTTGACTGGATAGCAGGAATCAGAGACTCAGTTACACAGATGGAGAAGTTCAAGGAGTGTTGTTTTATCATCTTAAATTAAGCTTTTATAGGTTAAGGAGATTGGGATAGCCAGGTATATGGTAAATTCTACACAGAAACAACTGATTATTCCAAAAAGAAAAGTCTAGTATAACTGACATAGAAAGGGGCATGTTTCCTTTAAGTGTGTGTTCATTCTTCAGAAAAGCAATGCTTCTCACTGTCACCTCTGCAACACAGCACAGAAGCACAGAAGGAGCCACCTGACTGTCTACTCAACTCTCATGCACTCTCTACCTTCTCTGGTTTCTTTTCTTTCAACTCTTCTCTATCACTTCCAACACCAATACATTGTCTTTTATTATTGTTTTGACCAATATAGCAATTCTAAAGTTGTCTCAACTTGCCTGAAAAGTGGAGGTAATTACAGTAGCTACTAGAAGAGATGCTATATTAATGTGCTGTTATGTCTCTAAACCAGTGTAATTCATTTGTGGTTTTGATTCTTTTGAGAATGTGATGAAATGTGTCCTTCTTCCCAGGCAAAAAAAAATATATAGTCGTGTTCAAGACATAGGCAAGCACGAAACCAAGCGTCAACAGCAAGAGTATCCAAAATAAACCTGTCAAGGATCTCCTTTCAGTCTTTGCATCCCTTAAAGGCCAAGGATTCATTAATTAAATAAAAGAATATTTATCTGTTTATTTTAGTCCCAGTGTCATTTCATAAAGTGTGGTCTGGGCAGAGCACATCTATTCCAGGTCATGGAGCTGAATCACTAAATTCTTTCCAATAAATCTCAATTTTGTTTTTATTTTTTTCTGCCTTTTTAAATTGAGAACAAAAATGGTACTTTACTACCCATGATAAATACAAGTCCATACAAACTGATCATGGGAATATGTTTTAGAACCAGAATAGTACTAAGCTAAGTGGATAAGTATTGTATTTTAAGACATAATAAGAAAAAGCTCCATTTTAAACACTTACTGAACTTCTACAGTGGATCTGATTCTATGGAAAAGACAGATTTAGAACACATAGATTTCCAGAAAGGAACATTGGAATTATATAGGAAGGAAGCTGAAATAAGAGCACACATAGTTGCAGTTAAACAATATTATGCAAAATTATGAAAAAATGTAAAGAAAGGCTTTAGAAAGAAACAGTAAATTTTGTTTTTCAGAAAGGAATTATTTATTGAATACCTAGAGGAAGTCTCTTGGCAGCTGGATCCTCAAAATTTAAAGTAGTTAAAAATAGGACAGCATTCTTAGAAAGAAATAAATCACTGACTAAACTATTTATTATTTTTTGATTAGACCCACATTTATTATCAAGTTAATGAAATATGTACCTGTGACTCTTAATTTATGTTAAAATGTATGTTTAACTCTTGAAGAAAATAACCTTGTTCTAAACATGGTCAGTGTATTGGGATTGAGGAAAAAACAACCTAAAAGTTAAAAATGGAAAGGAGGTGATAGATTCTTTACATCATCTTGCCTGCATATACTACCACATTATCAAGTACATCTCTTTGATTATAGGTCATGCTTTAAATGAATAAAGCAGAAATTGGTCATAATACAATGATCAAGAATCATAATACAAATACAAATCATAATACAAATATCAAGAATCTCTTTACTAATACTGGTTGGGAACCGGGGAAAGGGGAGGGAGGAAAGGAAAGAGTATAGAGGGAGAGCAGTAGAGTGAAGCATTTTAATGCACATGTAAGAAAACAGAATAATGAAACCCATTAAAATTGTTTTTAAAAGGTAGGAGGGGAGATTAGGAAGAGTAATAGAGGGATAAATAAACTATTTACTGTTATAATATATCCCCTTCATTTTAATACAAATCTCAGGAAACTGAGGTAATCTAAAATATGCTTTCCACAAATTAGAAGAAAAATAGAAATGAGCATATATAAGATGTTTCCACGAAATAAGTCATTTTTTCATTAATAAATGCCATATACAAAACATCACAATTGTTCAAAGTATCAGCACATTAGTTTTCTGATTCTTCTTTTCAAGGTACAATAACTAGAAAAGAATACAGATATTTCTATATAAATAAACATTTATATAAATATGTATAATGAATGTGAATATTTAAGTATGAAACTAGATAATATATATTTAGGGGATCAAGGTAGTATGTGATTTTACAACTGCATGATGAACCTCTAATGATAATTGACTATATCTTAATTTTAGATATATGCATTGTGAAAATCATGAGTTCTCAAGATTTATTAGATAAGAAAAAATAAGTGAAATTCTAGAGGAAGCTCCATCTCTTAATTTCTAATTCTTTTAAGAAGCAAAATTAATGAGGACCATGATAAAGACAACAACTTTAAATTTGTAAGATTCCCTGGGATATTAATCACATTCAGAAGCTTAGTTGAGACTGATGTTGACCTAAGGAAGTGCTCATTAAAATTAGAAGAACACAGTAATTAAGTGACATTTTAGTAAACTGTAACTAGACGTGCTCTGATGAGAAATATTTATTTTTGTTTAAAATATTACATAACACCTCACATGGTGAATTAATTTCTTTCTTTCTTTTTTGCAGATAAACCAGTTTATATCTGCCCATTCTTCTTGCCCCCTGAAGCCATGCAGCTGAAAATTAATGTGACTGAGTTCATTCTACTTGGATTGACACAGGACCCTGTTCAGAAGAAAATAGTATTTATAACTTTCTTGTTTTTCTATTTGGGGACATTGTTTGGTAACTTGGTGATTATTGTTACCATCAAGACTAGTTGGGCACTTAGGAGTCCAATGTACTTCTTCCTTTTCTATTTATCCTTATCGGATACCTGTTTGTCTACTTCTGCAGCCCCTAGAATGATTGTGGATGCCCTTTTGATAAAAAACACTATTTCTTTCAGTGAGTGTATAATCCAAGTATTTTCATTACATTTCTTTGGCTGCCTGGAGATCTTCATCCTCATCCTCATGGCAGTTGACCGCTATGTGGCCATCTGTAAGCCCCTGCACTACATGACCATCATGAGCCAATGGGTCTGTGGTGTGCTGGTGGTTGCAGCCTGGGTGGGATCCTGTGTGCATTCCTTAACTCAGATTTTTTTAGCCTTGAATTTGCCTTTCTGTGGTCCCAATGTAATTGATCACTATTTCTGTGACTTGGAGCCCTTGTTGAACCTTGCCTGCTAGACACCTATGTGGTCAACTACTTCTGGTGTCAAATAGTGGGGCCATTTGTACAGTGAGTTTTGTCATCCTCATGTGCTCTTATGCTGTTATCTTGCATTCACTGAGAAATCACAGTGCTGAAGGCAGGAGAAAAGCCTCTCCACTTGCATCTCCCATATCATTGTGGTCATTTTGTTCTTTGGACCTTGTATATTTATATACACACGCCCTGCAACCACGTTCCCCATGGATAAGATGATAGCTGTGTTTTATACAATTGGGACACCTCTGCTCAACCCTCTGATTTATACAATGAGGAATGCAGAAGTGAAAAATGCCATGAGGAAGTTATTGGAAAAGAAATCAATCTCCAATAACAAAAAATAAATTGAAATTTAAAGTCCTTCTTTATAGTTTGTACTGACTTACAAGTAAATAGAGATTATTTTCCTTTCGTATAATCCTGTACATGAGGGTAATTTCCTCTGGGAAAGTAGATAATTCAAACATATTCTGATCAAAGCTGACTTATTTTTATCTAGTAGAAGAGATAGCAAGATGTACATACATTTATGTAAGAACCATTGCCTTCACTTTTTTTTGCTTCTATCTACCTAGTGTCATTTTTGTTCCTGTTCTAGTGTTTTGGCTCCCTTCATGTTGACTTTTGGTGTTCTCTGCTAATAGTTACCCCATCCCTAAGCATTCAGCTTTTATCCACAGCTGACATATTTTCTACCTTCCAAATGATTTCCTTTAATAGTAGTTTCATTATGACACATTATGATTATGTGTCATTATGAAACATTGCTTTAGTTATTCTATCCTCAGCTAGTACTAGATGAAAGTATTTGTAGACACTTATATCTTCAGGGACAAGCTCTCTCTCTCTCCCTCTCTCTCTCTCTCTTCCTCTCCAATAAACATATAAACTCTTCCTCTTCCTGCATCCATTATTTATTCTAAACAACTAAAAAAGTCCCAGGAAAGTTCAAATATACACACGTGTATGCTAGGTAAATTTCCACTCAGTTCCTGGGATTATACTCCAAGTTGTTTACTCATATGTCTACTTAGAATCTTCAATGTAACAAGCATCTAAAGAAAATTCGTCTTTCTAATGAAGTCCTTTAATCTTAAGAAGATTCCCACTCACGGCTGTATTCATAAATTTTTCAGTAAATTTACTTGCATTTAAATTTGGTACATTTGAACTTTTGGAAAGTATTAAAATTTCAGTTGAATCATACTTTGAGTCATTTGTATAAGTATGGCATAAATATCCCCAATTAAGATATAGATACTTAGTAGGGCACTTGGCTTATACTTGTAATCCTAGCTCCTCCAGAAGTCAAGATTAAGAGGATTGAGGTATGAGGCCAGCCTGGGCAAAAAGTTTACAAGACTCATCTCCAATAAAGACTGCGTATAGTGGTGCATGCCTTTCATCGCACCTACATAGGAAGCATAAATGGAAGATTCCTTGTCCAAGGTGATCAGGGGATAAATTTTTGACCTGAGGAATAGGGTTAGACAGAGAACCCAAAACATGAAAGCATTTGATGTCCCCACTCCAGAGGAATAAATACAGAAGGCTTAAAGCAACAGAGGTCAACAACAGAAGGGGATCAGGAACCAGTGTAAAAGTCAGTTAGAGATAAATCAACCTGGGTTGTAACACATTTGTACATGGAAGCAATGCTAGGAGTCACTCTGTATATCTGTCCTTATCTCAACTAGCAAAAATGCCATGTCTTTCTTATTATTGCTTATTTCTACTCTTCAGTGGAACTGGAGAAAAGCGCAAAACAGGTTCTGCCTGGAGGTGGGAGGCAAGGGGGAGAAATGACCCAAACAATGTATGCACATGTCAATAAGTGAATAATTTTAAAAAAGAAAGCAGTGGAAGGGAAAAAACAAAATAAAGTGAGTATTCTCAGAAAAAAAAAAAGTAAATCAAGAAGGTCTGGTGTCATGAGTCAGTGGTAGAGTGACTGCCTAGCAAGCATTAGACCCTAAATTCAAAACCAAGTACTAAATAAAAGAAGATACAGGTATTTATTTGCTCTAGAATTAAAGATGATAAGAAATTATGGTAGAAAATTTGAAAATTTTAACATATTGACTTAAAGAATGTGATAAGCCAGTGGGACATGTTTATGATCTACATAAATATCACAGAAAATAATTAGTGCAGTTAGTTTTAAATCAACCATAACAGATCAACTTGAGTAGAGAAAAAGAAGCTATTTTGATGAGTGCTTGAATGGCATATTTCTGTGGTACAGATATCACCTATTTTCATTACCCATCATAGACATTATAATCACATAAAGACTAAGAATGTTTTAAATTTTAATTTTCCTTGTCATTTGATTCACATGGAAAAATAGACATGATCATCTTTGTTTTCTTAGGAATTTAATTACTGTTTATATGTTCCATTTTATTGTATTAAGGTTATCAAATCTGTATCATTTTTTGTGCATAGAATTTAATTTTTTTTAGCTTGGCAAAATTGCCTTCTGTTTCTTCATGTGAGAAGTGAAGATTTCACTATGAATTACGATGCCATGTATATTTTACTTTTTCTCAGATTCTGTGTATTTCAAGTAGTTTATCACTGAGCACAACAGTTATACTTTATTTCTGCTGTTGTGATGTTTATATGATTGTAGGGTGAACTTGGCAGATGTAGCTTTAGCCATTCCTTTTTAAGTTTTACTTTTGAATTATTATACATTAATAATAGGGGATTTCCTTGTGATACTTGTGATAATTCCATAGATGTGTACAGTATACCTTGAATAACTTCACCCTCTCCATTATATTTCCATTCCTCTTCTCCCTCTTTCTCCCTTTTCAAACATTTTATAATGTGTGTCATAATGGTGTCCTCATATGTGTAAATGTTGCTTACTTCCATACTCTTCACACCTCAGTAAATTTTCCTCTCCCACTCTCTCCTCCCACTGACCTCCCCTCAGAAACACACATTCACATCCCATTACTATTATTATTACTATTATCATCATCATTATTTTAGGTATAGGTTCCACAAATTTGCAAGAACATGAAATATTTGGCCTTTTGAGCTTGGATTATCTCACTCAGTATGATGCTTTCCAGTTGCACCCATCTTATTTTTGAATATTACATAATTTTACCATTCTTTTTTGACTAAAGATTATTCCATGGTGTGCATTTATATATATGTACATGCATACATACATAATCTTCTTTACCAATTCATCAGTTGTCCAGCACATTATTTGTTTACACATTTTTGCTATTGCAAAGACAACTGTAATAATGTAACAAATGTGTGTATGCAGGCATCATGTATATTGATTTATACCCTTTCAGATATATGCTCAATGCTGGAGTGGTATGACAGGATCATAAGGTAAGTCTATTTTTGGTATTTTGAGGAACCTCAACACTGATTTTCATAGTGTTTGCACTAATTTACGTTTCCACCAACAGTATATAAGTGTTCCTTTTCCCCACATCCTCACCAGAATTTGCTATTATTTACTTGACAGTTGCCAGTCTGACTGGTTGAGATGGAATCTTAGAGAAGTTCTGGTTCACATTTATTTAATGGCTAAGAATGTCAATCATTGCTTCATGTATTTATCACTCATTTGATCATCTTCTTTTGAAATTGCCTTTTCAATTCATTTGCCCATCTATTAATTGGACTATATGTTGTTTTGCTGTTTAGTTTCACCTCTTTGTATTTTGTGGATATATATCCCTTATTTGTTGAATAACTGGTGAAGATTTTCTCCCATTCCTTGAGTCATCTCTTGATTCTTATAACTGTTTCTACAGATGTGCCGAAACATTGTAATTCGCTCCATTCCCATTTGTCAGTTTTTGCTTTTATTTTCTATATGGCCAACATGATACTCAATGGTGAAAAACTGAAACTCTTTCCCCTAAAATCAGGAATGAGACAAGGGTGCCCACTATCCCCACTCCTATTCAACATAGTACTGGAATTCCTAACCAGAGAAATTAGGCAAGAAGAAGAAATAAAAGGAACACAAATAGGCAAAGAAACTGTTAAAATATCCCTATTTGCAGATGATATGACTCTATACCTTAAGAACCCAAAAAAACTCTACCCAAAAACTCCTAGACACCATAAACAGCTACAGCAAGGTGGCAGGATACAAAATTAAATTACAAAAATCATTAGCTTTTTTATACACCAATAAAGAACAAACTGAGAAAGAATATATGGAATCAAATGCCTAGGAGTAAACCTAAGAAAGAATGAGAATGACCTCTACAAGGAGAACTACAAACCCTGATGAAAGAAATCAAGGAACACTACAGAAGGTGGACAGATCTCATGTGGTCATGGATTGGTAGAATCAACATAGTAAAAATGGCTATAATACCAAAAGCAATGTACATGTTTAAAACAATTCCCATCAAAATCTGAATAACATTTATCACAGAGATTGAAAACTCTTCCCTAAAATTCAATTGGAAACACAAGAGACATGGCACTTGAACAAGAACAGACATGAAGGCCAGTGGTACAGTATAAAGGACCCGGATATGAATCCACAAAGCTATGACCACCTTTTTTTTGACAAAGGCACCAAAAATATATGATGGAGAAAAGACAGCCACTTCAACAAATGTTGCTTGGAAAAGTGGTTATCCATCTGCAAAAACTTGGAACTAGATCCATGTTTATCACCCTGTAGAGTATCAACTCAAAATGGATCAAGGACCTTAATATCAGACTCAAAACTCTGAAGTTAGTACAAGAAAAAGCAAGGAATACTCTGGAAGTAATATGTGTAGGCAAGGACTTCCTTAAAACCCCAGCAGCTTAACAACTAAGGGAAAGGATGGACAAATGGGACTTCATAAAATTAAAAAGCTTCTGCACAAAAAAAGAAATGGTCTCTAAACTAAAGAGACCACCCACAGAGTGGGGGAAAATCAGACAAAGGACTGATAACCAGAACATACGGGGAACTTAAGAAAATGAACTCTCCCAAAATCAATGAACCAATAAATAAATGGGCAATTGAACATTCTCAAACATTCTCAAAAGAAGAAATTCAAATGGCCACCCCGGTTAGAATAGTCATAATTAAAAACACCACTAACAATAGGTGTTGGTGAGGATGTGGAGAAAAAGGAACCCTCATACACTGCTGGTGAGAATGCAAGGTAGTGAAACCACTCTGGAAAACAATATAGAGGCTTCTTAAAAATCTAAATATAGATCTGCCTTATGATCTAGCAATCCCACTCCTGGAGATATACCCAAAGGAATACAGCACAGGTTACTCTGGAGAAACCTGTAAATGTTTATTGTAGAGCTATTCATAATAACCAAGCTGTGGAAACATCAA